GATGATTGTTGGACACCATCTGATGCGGTACGGGCCTCATCCGTATCTTACATAGAGGAACCTAAGATATTTCTTCAGAGTAGTGCTATTGACAGAGTTATTCCAGTGAATAGTAAATGCTATAAGCCAATGTGGTTGGGCGGGGAGGACCTCCAGAACGAGTAGGTTCATACCACACTTCCATCAAATCGTCTTTGGTATAGGTATGGTTTGACTCCCCTTCAATTGTCTCCCGATTCCCACATGCCGCCAGGGTTCAAGGATCATTCTCATCGTCGTCTAGAAGATCACTCTGAAACACGCTCGGGAGTCTGCGGCATCCACTTCGATTGGCAGCCATCCCCAACTGATGAGAGGTAATGTGAACTGCTAATATCAGATATGGGAAGGATCCTCGTTAGAAACTTTATAATATAAAGTTTATAATATAAAGTTTATAATATAAAGTGATATAAAGCAAACATAATATAAAGTTTATATCATGTTTGCTTTATATCACTTTTCGATGGTGATGTAGAGAAGAAGTAATATACATTTATAATATTGGAGTTTCACCACCCTAGTGATATGAAAAACACTAGTGAAAGACATATTTTAAGGCTACTGCATATCACCGCGAATTTCATCGAGTTTTACGCCACTTCACGTAAAGCGGGTGAAACTCCATTATTACATTGCTGTAGTATATAGGAGTGAATACTATTTATGGAGAAGTGATGTAGGTACTTTTATGCGATGAAATTTCACCCTAGTGATATGAAAAAACCAGTAGTGAAAAATTTATTTCATATTTCACTTCAAAAACGCATGTGAGCAGTGAAAAACGCGTAAAACACGGGAGACGCTGCAAGTGTTTTACGTGAAGTGGGATGATCTGTCCGGTGTTATTCGCGAAGTGTTATCGAATATATCGCGTTTTACGCCACTTGGGTTGTTGTTGTGAAACTCCAATATGAACTATATATGAATCCTTTTTCTCAGGTGTATGGTCTGTCGAGGAAGTGACGGATACGACTATGACGAATTCGAATGCGGTGATCCGACGTCAGTTGTGAAGGCTGCCGCGTCCGCCGCAGTTGAGAGCTTTAATGAAAGCGATCGAGTTGATGGCAATTCTCTACTACCCTCGTTGTTTTACCCGCCGAAGCAGCACTGGGATAGCAGTGGAGGACGACATTGAATGCTCGGCTAGGGCGGTCGTCATGCGTAGAGGAGAAGTTACATTAGCAGACTGCAAGTACCTGGCTTGGTCCGGTCATTACTCTATCCTCAAATGGGTTCAACAGGAAGCCTTAGATCGGCTGCCACTATCACAGAAAGGGATGTGTTACGTATATAATCAATATGAATGTCATGCACGACGACGACGACAGCAGCAGAAGGAGGAGGAAGGGGTGGGGGAGTTATACTTCCTACCGACGGTCATGGAGGCTTTCCCTCCATCTCCGGAAAGTTCAGGGAAAGATGGTATGAAAGCATCACGAGTGGCGTTATCGTCAGTTGCCTTTGCGCGGATGTTATCCGTATCATCATTTTTTCCCTC